GGAAGGGGTGTGCGTCGGGGGTTTGGTTGCCCCCCCCCAAGGGGGCGAAAAAAACGCGCCCCCGGAGGGGTCGTTTTCTCCCCGCCGATTCAGGCGGGTAGTGTAGACCTAGCCTTAGTAGCACTGTTGATGATCTCCTCTTAGAGCTGAATAAGCCACGTGGCCCAGGTGATATTAAATCTAGCAGCCACCTTTGATACCATTTAGCCATAAGGTATTGTTGATACAACTTCTACATCAGACTGGAATGAATGGATTAGCCCTTGAGTTGCTAATCCTTTACTCCTTCATGAATAAATGATTACAGTGGGTGATGTTGGGTAGTTTTTCTTCTACTCCACATGCCCTTGTATACAGAGTACTGAAAGGGTCTATCTCATCCCTGCCACTATGTCCTCCTCAAATTATTGATAAATATATTGTATAATTCCAATGGAGTTAATGTAACTCATTGACTTTGTCCAGACCTTCATCAACTTAATCTGTCCTTTCCGGTTTCTATCCATCGGGTTTTTGCCATATTCCATTGATATTTAATCATTTCACAATGTCTCTTCTCAAGCCCAGCTACCTTTATTTCTAATAACTGAATCTCCTACAGCCCTCCCTAACTCTCATTGCTACTTACCACAACCCTTCCGGCATCTGGAAGGATTTTCTTGATGTGTAAGTAATGGCCATCCTCCTGTGTATCTGCTGGAAGAAAGGGATCGCCTCCAAGACCGGTAACATTTTTTACTAATTCCTAAGGATAGTTTGCCACAATCCGGACTACTGCACCTGAGAAAGAGACATGCATCTTTGAATAGACATACCCTATTAAAATAGACTGAAAGTGGTAAATTACACAACTTCCTGTAGGCCATAAATGATATCTGGATTGATTTATTTGTATTATAATTAGTTTAGAATAATTTCTGTATTTCAGTTGCAATGGTCACCAACATAGTGTGGTCCAAAGAGAAGCAACCCGATCTCCCATATGAAAAATAAAGAATAGATGCATAAATCACCAAAAGCAGCAAAGAGTCCTGTGGCACCTTATAGACTAACAGAGCATGAGCAGGAGCTTTCGTGGGTGAATACCCACTTCGTCGGATGCATTCGACGAAGTGGGTATTCACCCACGAAAGCTCATGCTCCAATTCGTCTGTTAGTCTATAAGATGCCACAGGACTCTTTGCTGCTTTTACAGATCCAGACTAACACGGCTACCCCTCTGATACATAAATAACCAAGTAATTACATATGGATGATAAAATAGTTTTTATGCAAATGACCTTAGAGACCAACATGTCCCTATCCTTTACCCACTTCTTATGGCATGATTAAATAAATAGTCAAGTAGCCACGAGAGACCATGTGCCCTGAGACCTCAAATGCTGGAAATGCTGATAGCTTTCTGCATTCAATTATTTTTAATTTCAAAAGGTATTTTGAAGAAAATAAACCATAAGAAAAAGAGCATAATGTTATTCTCATGCTTAATTTCCCATGAGCACAAATACGCTTTATGTATTATTGTAATAGTATATTTAAATTTCAAAAACAAACAGAAATAAATGAAAATTAAACTGTGTTCTGTACATTTAATTGAGAGACTCATAGTGTCAGATTCTATTCAAATTACTACCACACCAGTGCATCTTTTAGCATAAATTATACAGATAAAGTACAAATAACAGCCGATTTTGGTGTATCAATATCTGCACTTCTCTCACAGTGCTGGAATTTCAGTATGCAAAAACCAAGTGATAATTCACCATTGCTCATGTTTGTCATACATGCACAATAAAACATTTTACAGTGCTTATTAATGCAGTAAAGATCATGTGTTCTTTAAACAGTTAAAAAGCTGGCATCTTTGTATTTTGAAATGATACACCAAAGTAGATTTTTCTGTTTTGTCAGTATATCATACAGGCAAAGATGGGTATTGCTGTGTTGTGTTTACGGTCTTGGGTCCTTAATAAATAAGGTTTACTAGTCAGATCATAAAATGCAGGTCTCCATACTTTAGCCGTCCCATTCTTGAGTTTGAATAAAAACTGAGGGCTTGTCTATATAGGGAAGCAATTCTGAAGTAAGATAAGGTATAAATTTAAAGTGCTATAGCTTTTCTGGAATAACTGCCTATATAGACACTTATACTGGAAGAGTCCACACACACAGTTTTTCCACAATAACTATTCCAATCAATTTCCTTGTATAGACAAGCTCTTAGTCCCTGGTCCAGTGAAACAGTTAAACAGTTCCATTAACTACGGTGCCTTCAGTGGGAATGCTCATGTGCCCAAAGTTAAGCATAAGCCCAAAGTACTTAATTAAATGCTTTGCTGGATTAGGCCCTAATTAAGATCCCCAGGATTTGGCCCTGGAGATGGGCAGAAAGAAAAAAAACCTGGATACA